AAACGTATATGAACTACACCAACAGAAATTAAAAACCAAAAAACAAAAAAAAATAGATGCACAGACTAAAAAATTAAAACGAGTGTAAAGTATCTGAAATATCAAAGGTACTGTTTAAATAACAAAACAAAATTTAACAATATTTTGCGAGAGAGAAAACAAGATTGTTGCCAAAACCAAATGAGTAAATAATAAAAATAACAAACAAACAAAACAATTCAACAAAAAGCAAGCAAACAAATTCTATTTCATATAAAAGACATACATATGTAGATTACTAGTGTCCCCGAACAACAAGAACAACCACCTGCTAAACAACAAATGCAATATGTATGTTTATGTAAACATTTATGAAGTTTCATTGTATGGATATTATGTTATGTATGTATTTTAAACAGTGAATACATTTTTTTTTTATATAAACAAAACACTCGTCATTCATTTTTATCCGTACTCTACCACACAAGTCTAAGTACAAATTGATTTCCATAAATTCTACCAGTTAAAATTTTTGGATATTTACATATTTCAAAATCCAACAACGTCAGGCTCACATTAGAAAGTGCAAGGCGCAAAATTATCTCATATTGAAAAACTCTAAATTAGGTTTCTTGAGCCTTCTACTCAAAAACTCGTCATCGAATGGTGCGCCTAAAAGATGAAGCAATAAACTAGTTGACGATCGTTTAACAGTGATGGATAATTAAATTTTTAATTAAAGCCTAACTTGATAAAAACATCTAAAAGGAGACAAACGTAAATGGCAAGCCTAATTTTGAAAGTGCAGATTTTCGCAGTTCATGAAGTCCTATTGATAGAAGTAGGCACAACGAACCCTTCGGCAGTATTTTAATTTGGGATCGTGGCAAAACTTGAACGGCTATGTGTAATGGCGTTGAGCACAACTTTAAGCTCTATCCAAATTTGGAAGAATCTCTTGGAGCTGTTCAAGAGCAAGCAAAGCTTTAGATAATGCGACTCATTTTCATACGACTTCTTCAAACTGTGCTCTGCTGTCTTCTAAACAAATTGGGATTATAACATACGCAATCAAACGTATCGTAATTTATTTGAAGTCACAGTAGATTGAAGGTCACCATATTACGAATTACGAGAGGAATACTACGCTCACGTCTGTAATAAAAATGCATTTTTGCGTGACAAGAAGCTCGTTCACGGCTGTCTCGAATCGAGTAATTTTTACAACCATATTCCCACGCCAATGATAAAACTCACCGTATGATTAGTGTCTTAACTACTGCCCCTAAGTTATGCCGCCAAAACTTGATGTAAAGCGCTCTAATGATGGCGGCCGCTGTCGTTGAGAGGTCAGAGGTAATACCACTGCGTAGGAGCGGATTCGATACCTGATCCAGGTAACATCTAAAATAGAAAAAGGTTTTTCTAACAGCGGACGTCGCTCGGTAGGCAATGGCAAAGCTCGGAGTGTTTCTGCGTGAAAAAGCTTCTCATAAAATCTATTTGCCGTTCGAGGTCGGCTAATACTGTATATATATATATTTTTTTTTTTTGAATTATGGCCGTGGAAAATATCGATAACAAAAGTCAAATCAACAAAATTCCGTTATAAGTTCAATATTTCTTGCTCTATTTACAAAAATGGGATACCACTGGAAAGGTAACGATTTAGGCTTTCTCTATTGAAAAGCGAAATGCAAATGAATTAATCGAAGTAAATGAAATTCCTTGTAGGCCAAAAAAAAAAGAAAATTCATCAAAACCAAAACTTTCCAGCAGCTAAAATTGTTTTGTTTAAAGTCTAAGAGGAGTGACAAATAAACTGAGATACAAGCTTTATCGAATAGTTGCGGATAATGAGTTTGCGCGTCTAATGAAATTAATAAATTGCTTACATAAATTTAAGTTAAATCGTTTTACTTTTAAATGAAATACTCAGCCCTAGTTTACTAAAATCCCAAAAATGTACATATATTCATTAAAAAGAACATACTTAGAAAAAATAAGACCAAAATGGTATTTTAGCAATTGTTGCATAAATCACATAATATCGACAAATTAAACATTGAGATTCAGTTTCAAATATAAAAATTTAAATATTATTGCGCTTGGTAATTTTCCAAATCAAACCCCTTCTCGCCCTACTCTTTGATTTAAATTTTTTATTTGATATTGTTTCGTCTTTATCAGGCATTTCTAAAAAATTTGTTGACGTTGTTTTTAAATTGGACGACATAAAATAATTTAATTAATATTTTCTAGAACTGTGCGGCGGCACAATTAACTATTAGCTCATTTCAAAATAAAAAATTCGAGTCTCCCTATTTTCCATTTTCTATATTTCTAGAGTTGCAGCAAGAAAATATTAAAACGTTGATTTTCCTGTGTATTTTTGGACCACCGTAATGTACATATTTAATTGTATTATCTATGTATGCTTTGGGGTGCCTCACCCAAAAAGTTGCGGGTTTTCCACCAGACTTATAAAACTTATTACTTTTTAAGAACTCCGCTTAAATATTTCGGAAAAATATTGATTTACGTGAGCTGGCTTGGACATGTTGTACTCATGGATGACGACGCTCCGGTGAAAAGCGCCTTCAACTTCGCACCCGTGGGTGCATAATGAAAGCAAGGGCGCCCACGAACGCAATGGAAGAACCAAGTGCAGGAGGACCTGTCTGCGCTCGGGATAACCAACTGGCATAAATTCGCATAGCAGAAGCCTTTTGATCTCGGCCCAAACTGACAAACGGTTGTAGTGCCAAATAAGAAGGGCTGGACCTATTTGGAAATACCTCCACAGATATCATTATTTTGAGTTGATTAAATTTGCTTAAAGTATTCTATCACACGAAGAGATTTTTTGCAAAAAATGTATTTTAAAACTAATTTATAAAATAATTAAGTTTTTTTTGGGTATTTTTTGGGAAGTATTTTGGCAGAAGTCTCAATATATAATAGAGTTTATAATTCCGACGGAAAAAGTATTGATTTATTTGGTGAGTGATACATTCTAAAGTGCATACGTGTTTTTTATGTTTCTTGATTTTAAATTTTAAAGTAATAATCTGCCCGTAAATATCAATTCAAATTGCAATAAAGTAGATACTATATAAAAAAATGGAAATAGCTGAATATGTATGTATGTATTTGTGGCGTGCGCCTTGATGTTGTCACACAAAGCGGAGGGACCTACAGTTTTACGCCGACTCCGAACGGCGATTGTATTTTTATGAGACGCTGTTTTTCATGGCAGAAGTTCACTCGGAGGTTTGCCATTGCCTGCCGAGGGACGACCGCTGTTAAGAAAAAAACATTTTTTCTATATTTTTCCGATGTTGCTTTGACCGGGGCTTGAACCCAGGCATTGCGGAGTGGAAGCGCGCACTGCTTACCACTACACCACAGCGGCCGACTTAGTTTCTATGAAATCAAGTGCTTTCAGAGTAGCTTTCAGGATTTATATATATATATATATATAATACATAATTATTATTATTTACATTTGATTAATATGTGTACGTATGAAATAAATGGTTGCATACCGTTAGGCACTATATTTTTAAATTTCGCCAAAAGTGGCAGCTAAAATAAATGGCAAGTCGATTTTTTATTAATTTTAATTTATTTACAGATTTTACAAGGGGAACTTGATTTCAGCATGATTTGAATTTTTTACCACCACTGTCTTAACATCAACTGTCATTTCATATGTATGGGCCAGTATGCAGCTCTCAAGAAAAGCAAAAACTCCATATAAAATGATGTACAAGAAATGGCAAAGAAATTTGCTACGCTTTCTACTACGGTTTTATAAAGTTTTTTGTGAAAAAAGAGCACAAGGCAACCCATGTTTGCAACAGAAATATATGTATGCCCGTTCCATTATTTCTTGAGGAAAGAGTGAGGCAACAGGCTGTCAGATGTCATACACGAAATAATGGCAGTTTTTTTCTTGAACGCTTTCTTGAGAGCTGATAACTGGCCTTATGTATATAGTTTGACAATTCATTTGCATATAAATAAAAGGTGTGGATGTGGGGTAAAAGCCATATTCGAACATCCCTAATACTCCTCACGCGAACTATAAGATACATAAATACATACATACGTACTAAAATTATTCTCACGCACATACATAGTTACATATGATGTACATACATCCCTATACGTGGATATGTGTGTTTGTGTACATTAATATAACTACTGTAAATATTACTGCAATAGAACATACATGCGTACACATTTACATACATAGACCATACGCATAAGCATAAATACAATACATACTCGTAGATACTTACAAATATACATACATAAATCGGCGAAAATAATAAATACATATTTATTTTGTATGAAGAAGAAATAAAATAAAAAATTTAAATTTAAATTGAATTTAGCATTAAGAAACAGTCTAGGAGAGGAGCTTAAGAGCAGAACATAACAAAAACAAAAATTAAAACAACTGAGAAATTAAGCAACTCAAATTTACTGTTGATTTCAATCGAATATTTTACGCCTTCAGATATCAATATGTTAAAGAGATACAGACCTACTTTTACATTTTTTACAAAGAGAAAAAAGTAAACAAACAAATAATAAAACGGCAAAGAAATAGATAACATCTATTATTTTTATGTGTATGAATAGAAGAGGCAAAAAAAAATAAAATAAAAAATGCAATAAAAAGCGAGCAAAAAAAAAAATGTAGCTACACAATTACAACAACAAGAACAATGGACGAACATACATACTGTAAAACATACAACATAGACACACAGACCGCAGCAAGATGTGAATTAAATTTTTAATTGCAATTTTTAAAGCAATAATTTATTATATAACGTATCAAAAACAACAACAAATTATGAAAAAGAGAAAACCAAAAAAGAAGACATAAAACAATTAAGCAAATAACCAACAAAATAAACAAGTGCAGCTGAATTTATAATTTTCTAAAAAAAACAAAAAGAAAGTGTAAATGCAGAAAAGGGTAACAGTACGAGTACAGTACGCAAAGAAAATATACATACATACGTACTTAACACAGAATTTCCGATATTTCACATGCAATCATACATACATACATCATATGTACATACAAATGCATACAAACAGACATGAAACGCATTTGAGACAATTTATTTCGCCATTCAGAACGCAAAAACACAAAGCAAAAAAAAAAACAAAAACACCGGCTATACCGCACGTCATACAAACTCATCATGTAATCGAAAGATTTATAAGTATGTAGTATGTAAAATATTGTAAAACTAACGAGTTTTTCGAACACGCGAAATCAATACATATGAACTTGTATAATTATATGTATATGTGCATAAATACAAACAAATCGTTCCAATTAAGAACATAAATAAATTTTTTCAAGTAATATTGTAAGTACATACACATTTACTATTACTGGTAGTAATAGGTGTACGAAGAAATAACCACTGTACTGTAAGAATCAACATGCATACATTCAAACATACATACATACATACAATACGTACATAGAAACGAGTACATACTACCCTTTCAAGAAATAAAACCAATGCGATTTTTATTTAAAAAAAAATATTATACGAAAATTTTTTTATTTACTAAGTGGAAGTTGTCGTCATTGGTGAGAACAAGCAAAAACTAATCAATTAATTCGGGAACATCCACATCTTCGTTGTTGCAAATAGTTTTTATGTCCACAGTTCCCTTTAAATCCGATTGGCTGCAATTGGAGAGAATATTAGTTTTTATTGCAGTTTTTTTTGGAACTACATACATACAAAAAACAGTGGGTAAAAAAAAGCTCCAAATTTTTGTGGCCAAAATTAATTTTGAAGAAATCAGTAGATTGTTAAAAAAACTGNAAGCTCCAAATTTTTGTGGCCAAAATTAATTTTGAAGAAATCAGTAGATTATTAAAAAAAACTGTTCTTTATTGGTTGGCATACGATTTCCAACATTTTTGCACAAAAAAAATCTTAACCCTTGACGACTGATGGGTCAAAAGTGGTCACTTTCTAATTTGTGGTTTTATTGACAAAGTTTGAATGCAGTTTTTTTAAATATTTATATTTAAGAAAGAAATACCGCTAAGTTATAAAACCAATTTTTACCGTGGCTAATTTAAAAAATATATTGTCAAATTAATTTATTTCAATTGAAAACCCGAAAGCTCTAAATTTCCTTATTTGCCTGCTTAAAAGTTAAAAAGAGCAGTTTTTGCAGCAACCCTAAAGGTAAATAGTTCACTACTGGGGATTTACATGTAAACCTATCACAGTCAGGTGTTTAAGCCTCGAGAAGTGGCCAGTCTGCAGTCCCATCTGCTCAATGAAAGCAAATGCCTAGCAAGACCCTCTGAGATTGAGTGCAACATTAATTTTGTCCACCTGCAGCCGCTCGAAGTCTCCCAGTCATTGCTGAGCGAAGTATTCACCCACACCCCTATTCTGCAACTCTTTCGTATTCGGATTTTGCTACGAATTGTAGAAATAGTATGCTGCAATCCGAATCGTATTTTCGAACTTTCGAAATTCGTAACAATGGCATGCCTAAAAACGAACGAGTAAGCTTTTTTTGCGTAATTTTGTACGAAAACAATGCTGTGACGGGGGCGAGATGAAAGTTGTTCTGCACAAAGATACTGTGGACGGCGTAGCCGGAGTGATATGCACAAGAAATGTTGCATACCTTTGACATGCGGAAGCCCCTCTTCTCCGGCAACACAGAAAGGAGAATTCTACTTAGTAAGGGTTATAATCCCTAAGTGCGTCCGAAAGCAGAAGCAAGCGCAACAGGGGTGGACCCAACAAAGTGCATGTTTTCAATGGCTTAGAAGAAGCCGTTATCGCACTAACTGGTTTGAGAATCAATTCTTCAGGCATAGGAGTTCTGGCTTGTGGTTGAGCAATTAAACCAGATGCTGGCGTAGATGCGTCCATGCTTACTAAGCCCGACAGCCCCGCATATCTTTGTGAATTCACTTCCATAGCGCGCTCTTCCTCTACTGCTATAATTTCAAATGGAATAGGATCCATCGTTTCCTCCAAAATACGTGAAATCAAAAAATTTTACAATAAATAAGCACTTGATGAATGTTTTCTTAATTCCTTTCCACTTTGTTTTCCTTCATACAGCTGTCTTCGAAAAACAACTGATAGCTGGCAATGCGGCACAGGTTTCCGCAAGTGTTGCAGCATGTCGATTTTTCGTTTTTCGTAACGTAGCTATGAATTCCGAATTATGAAAAATCGGGATCCAGAATAGGGGTGCCAGTTTCTGATGGTGACTTCGATGGCCGAAAAGGGGAGTGCTATAACTGGTTGCGGACCGAGGAATGCCAGGACAGAACCAACTCTGACCAAGTGGTCAGATGCCTCATTACCAGGTACTCCCCAGTGACCTGTCACCCAGAGTAAAGCAAGCATTATCTTTACCAATATAATTGCCGAACTAGTTTGGAAGTTGTTAGAGGGCTTGCCAATGTCTTAAGTACTGCCTGTCTGTCACTGCGGCACGTAAACTCCTTCCCCTCCACCTATTTTCCACCCACCACGTGATCTGTGGATTTATCCACATTGATTTCGATTAAGACCCCAGATCCTGACCCAGAGTCAGTTTTGGAGCCATCAGTGACGATTCGACAATATGTGAGTCCGGGTTAAGTGCTGGAATAAACCAGAATTCGGCCTCAGGGAACTTAACAGCACAGCGCTAGTTTTGGTTGGGTTAGTCACGCCAAGTGTCAATCATATTCATTAATGTCTGGGTTTTCCTGCAAACAGCCGGCAGAGAGGAACCCATCACTAGACAGGTCATATCGTCAGCTTTTGTTTATTCCTGATGACCTGCTGCGCCTGCATTGAACGAATCCAATTTACCAGTACAGATTCTAATCCATGCCGTAAAGCAGAATTACACATGCTATCGAAGGTGGCCTTGCCAAAAGCACCCTCTATGTCTACAAAAATGCCCAAGGCGAATTCTTTCCTATTGAGCGCGTTGCCAACTCTGCAAATAGGCCTGCCAACAAAAGCTCAACACCTTCTTTAAGTACAATAGGTAGGATGACATCTGGACAACAAAAGCTCAACACCTTCTTTAATTACAATAGGAAGGATGACATCTGGACCAGGCGATTTGAGATTGTCAAAATACTCAATATAATATCTTAGGGCATCTTCATCTTCATTTGCGGATTTTGTTACAAATCGTAGAAATAGTATGCTGCAATCCGAATCGTATTTTCGAACTTTCGAAATTCGTAACAATGGCATGCCTAAAAACGAACGAGTAAGCTTTTTTAAGTAATTTTTGTACGAAAACATTTCTGTGTCGGAGGCGAGATAAAAGATGTAAATCGATGTGTGTTTTCAGGAAATATTAGTGGCGTTCATTTAAAAAGATAAATTTGCCTTTCGTATATACGTATATTTGTATCCACTGCTTTATATAAATGAACAAAAAATAATCTTTGTTGCCCTTATCGAGAACGCATAACCCGAATCTACTTGCACATACAAATTAAACTTTAGTTTAAAATAAGTGTTTCAAATTTCCGAGCAATAGTTTTTTTAATAAATTCGGATTTAACTATGCACATTTTTGTAAATTTCGATGTGGGTTCTGCGCAAAAATACTGTGGATGGCGTAGTTGGAGTTATATGCACAAGAATTACACATGCTATCGAAGGTGGCCTTGCCAAAAGCACCCTCTATGTCTACAAAAATGCCCAAGGCGAATTCTTTCCTATTGATGGCATTGCCAACTCTGCAAATAGGCCTGCCAACAAAAGCTCAACACCTTTAAGTACAATAGGTAGGATGACATCTGGACAACAAAAGCTCAACACCTTCTTTAATTACAATAGGAAGGATGACATCTGGACCAGGCGATTTGAGACTGTCAAAATACCCAATATAATATCTTAGGGCATCTTCATTTGCCACAATTCTGGCAACAACCCAGTTGTACCTTGACACAGTCGTTCTCGCATTCCGTCCCTCTCCAGACGAGGGAGAGCAAGGCGTAACCATCACCTAATTCCGTTCTCATTGGCGCATGGCAAATAGCGTCCTCGCCAAGTTAAAACTCGATGTACCTGTGATCCGAGAGCGAATCTTAAGTCAGGACTCTCCAGTTTAGGACTGACCACCCCAACCGAGAGTTAGATAGGGTAAGATCACGAGAAAAATTATTAAAATCCTTAAAGCTCAAACAGTCAACGACGTAACGTCGACGTAGATTGACGCAAACACAATCTACCTAATGGGACTCGCGTGTTAACGAAAACTCACCACAGCATGGCCAAAGAACGTTCTACGTTATCTACGTTCTTTGGCACGGCGGTGACATTACCTTTGGTTCTCTCTCTCTATCAACAGTAAATTTGATATGCTGCTGTATGCGCTTTTAATCTAAAGTTATAGTAGTTGCGTATATGTACATTTGAGCCAAGGCGAATTCATACAAGGTGGTGTTATTAGAAAAGCTGATTTGATTTTTTTTATTCGCCTTACGTGTAATTTCATTTTGCTTTTGCTGATGTCATAGCTCACCCGCCAAAAGCAAAAAAGCAAAGGGAAAAACAAAATTCATGTAAATTTATGTAAATTTTGTTTTTGTGTTGTTGATACCACCTTGAATGAATGCGCCTTGATTTCATTGGTTTGGTCTTCAAACTTGGATGAACATGTTTACTTTTAAGGGATGTGTGACGTTTTTTGAAATGCAGTATGTCGGAACAAATATAGTGGACAAAAATTTCAAATATTATTGCATTTACTTGAAATTTGTTACCCGGGGGTTCTTGGGGTCGCTAATTACGAATATATTTGATGACTACCTATACAATTATTACCCTTTTCCTTCTTTAGTGCTTGAATAATTAACGTTATTTCCTGCAAAAAAAAATATTTTCGGTTTTTATTTCTCTTTATAAATTGTTTAGAATCGCATACATATTCTTACCTTGTTGCCTTGATCGCACAATGATCATTTCGTTGACATGCAATTTCGGCATTTTTATAACCAAATAACCGGTTATTTGCGAACGTTGTACGCTAGCTTCGGTTGTTTTGATCTCTTCCGAAAAGGACATTTGGAAAAGTTTCCCTTTCACAGAAACTCGCACATAATTCGGCTCGATGTCCACTTTGATTTGTGATGTATCCAAGTGTCTGCAATACAAAAGTACCGGTTACTTCGATGTTACAAGCGTTCATCGTTGGGAATTCGACACGCACTTTGGAATGGGTTAACTATTGGTTTCTTTCTACCAGGATGTAATTAAAATTGGTGATTACAAATTTTTACTTAATGACATGGACGGATTCTTGAGAATTAATGTAGTAAATAGTCTGCAGCTACAGGCTCTACGATATTTAAAAACTTCCAAGTTGAAATTGAGTTCGAATGATGTCACAGTGAATCTATGCACTTATTGCACAGTGCAACTGCATTTTTGGAGCGGAATGATGCCAACTCAGAATGAAAGATCTAAATTCATATAATAAAAGCCCCAAAACTTTTTGCATCCTGGGCTTAATTTTATATGGCCATATTAAGTTTGAAATTTTTTGCCTGAGTTTTTTTTAGAATTAGTGAAGAAAAAAATGTTCAAATTTATCACGGAGCAAATATGTAGTTTGGATACATATGTACATATATAGTAGTAAAATTTTACGAGCAATATTTTCGTTGACCATTTAAACCCATTAGATCTCTCACGTTATGATCGTTTTTTGGAAAGTCTGAATAAAATGGCAATAGGTGAATTCTCAGACAAAATCTTTATAGCACCTTATCAAAAGTATAAACTTGTCTACAATTCTTTTTTTTTAGTAACTTACCACCTTGTGGCCGCGGTGGTGTAGTGATTAGCAGTGCGCGCTACCACTAATGAAACTATCAATTTCGCTATGATAGGTGGGTTAGTCGTGCTACCAGATATTTTGTGTCTAATATTCGAAAGGCCTGGACATTCAAAAAGGAAATGCTGGACACTTTCTTCGCTATCGTCTAGTTGACAGCTGCGGAAAATCATATTATGGGGCTGACCTATTTTTGCCGCCTGTTTGCCTATGTTGCTACAATTCTGAGTAACTCTAGCCTTCATCTGCTAAGCAAGCCCAAGGTCTTCGTCCTGTTATAGTCAGGCCATATCTAGTTTTCTTGATTTCTTACAAGTCTTTATATCTGACCACCTTCGAGTAGCCAGTTCAAGGAAATACGTTATAATATCTCTTTGGACTATGCCAAGGGGCAACAGTGTCACTGCTTGAGATTCAACCACCCCGGCTCATGCCTTCGCCAGCTAATTTGCCTTCTATGCTCCTATGTCCGGGAACCCAGACAAAAGAGAAGGTAGTTGACTGAGACACTGAGCTCAGTATCACTTTGCAGTCCCTTACTAGCATGATTTGGTAACCGCCGACGCTATTGTCAAGAGACTCTATTGCCTAGAATTTTACAGGCTTCTGTGATCCCTAGAACTTCCACTTGGAAAAAGCGTGTATCATTTACCAACCGTAGATACAGAGCCACGCCGAGTTTCTCGGAGTAGACTCCCGCCTTGGCCTTCCGTATAACCCTCGGTGCCGTAGCTATAATCTTGTGGGAAGTAAAGAGACGGTCCTTTACTATCTTTGCGAGTGCCCAGCATTGGCACAAATAAGGCGGGAGTTTTTCCATCCAAAATCTTGGGGTAGTTTCCAAATTTACCATTACTAACCTAAAGAAATTCATTGGAAAATCCTAATGGTTTGACGAACCCAACGAATCATGAAAGCAGATAAAATCAGGTGTCCAGAGAAAGCGTATTAAAATGGTGCTTTCAGCACTAATTGGGTCCTGCGAATGTACCCAGGCGACGCTTCTACCAACCAACCAACCAGACTCCCGCTCCCACACCGCAATCCATCTTGGATCCGTCCCTTCCGGATGGGAATAACACCTGCATGTTACAGCTGAAATCGAAGTTGCATACCATATAGTCTGTCGTCCTACTTAATGGCATTTGATTTATGATCAACTCATATCCGAAGTGTCAAATCCCCCAAACCCTATTGTCTAGGTGAAACCCTATTGTCTAGGTCTTTTGTCCTGAGTTGGAATCATTCCGCCCCAGACAATGACCCTGATATTGTTGCACTCGCATTACCCTGCCTACCATCATCTACGCTGAGCGAGACTAAACGACTAATCAGAATAAACCAAGCACACTTACTTGTATATACCCAGCTGCAACATGTATTCATTGTACTCGTCGCTCAAATGGAATGGTAATTTCGCTTGATTCAAATTATACGGTCGTCCGCATGGTGCAAATAGTGCTGGCGTTCTATGCATTTTCTTATCATGCTGCTCGGTGTTCCTCTTCTCCCTGCCGAGCTTGTGATACTTTGCTATATCCGTGCGTGTCTCGGGACAATGCTCACTTTTAGCATCCCAGAACATCTTGATGCGACTATCTTCATCATCGACTTCCGCCATTTCAGCTTCCAGTTCTGTCTTTTTATGTGCCACTCGCAGCTTTTGCTCATCTCGCTCAATGAAATAGTTTGCTTGTTTTTGTACAATAACAGCACGATGGCTACTCAATGTCTTTTGCGCCTGTAACTTTTGTGACATTTTGATTTCTTCACAATCCAGGCTATTCAGCTGTGGCAGCGTACCCGTTACATAATCTCTGTAGTGCGGGTAATCACAGCAGGGATTTCCAATGAGTATTAATTCGCGTAGATTATAATTTCCTTTCAAGCATTCGATGGAAGTTAATTCGCCAATGAAATTTAAAGTTAAGTCTAATTTGGTTAGCGACTCGAGCTGCTCCAGATTTTCCACACGCTCGATATTATTAATGGCCAAGTTCAAATATTCCAATTTTTTCAATTTGTGCAAATTCTCTATTTTGGAAATGAGATTTGATTGTAGCAGCAAAATTTTCAAATCCCGACACCAGTTTTGCAGATGTTCGATTCGTTCTATGTCCTCTTGATGCAAGGAGAGTTCTTCCAACGTACTGATGAGACACTCATTATGCTCGGATTTCTTGCGCACCAATGCCTCAGTAACTGTTTATTTTGAAACGCATAAAGTGTTTAGTGCGATTGAATAGGGGATTTTTTTTACACTTACTCTTCACCATGGCTTGAAGATCTTCCTGAATTGTGATGTATATTTATGAAAAATATTTATTGTTTAATAAAAGATGCACTTCAAAGAAAAAACATCAAAGAAACATACATATGAATGTGTTTCCGTGGCAACCAAACAAATTATTTATTCATTTTGTTGAGTCTCCAAAAAGGGGATATTCTTTGATTGCACGGAATGAAAAATACAGCGGTAAGTTCCCCGCAAACATATTCTGAGCGCTCAGAATATATGAGTCAGAAAGGAGTCCTAGGTATGTAAGAAATATGAGTTTCAAAAACAAAAATTTGTTTACCCTTATATGAATCTTTTAGGAGTCATATATTATTCAAGTTATGAGCCAGCACTTTGTGCCAGTATAAAAACAATAACGACTAGAAATTTATATGTAAACTTGTTTATACAGATATGAAAAATAATAAGGAAAGAAAAATAAACAAAATTTAGCTGCAGCAACTGCTATTACATGAATGCTGCAATATATGTACATATATATGTATGCGCAGAGGTATGTATATAAATATGCAACAGTATTTGAAATGAATTCCTTGCTAACATGGCTCTAATGTAAGTTCATTAAGAGAGTTGAAGAATAAAGCCAATAAGAGTCACAGAACAGCATACAATGAGACTCCGAAAGTAGGCATTTATGAGGCCAATAAGAGTCATTTAAGAGCTTCAAAAAGAGTCCAAAATGAGCCGTATATGAGGCCAACAAGAGTCCAATATGACTCATATTGAGGCTCATTTGATGTATGAATTTAAGCTCATAAAGGTCGACCTTCGCAGGAAGGGAAACACCCTCATTTCGGACTCTTAAATGAGCTCATTATGAGCACAAAGGCTCCGAAATGGGACTCCTTAAAGACTCATTTATGACTCCAAATGTTTGCTGGGTTGAACCACCCAAATAAGAAATATATGCAATTTGTAGGTGTATGCAGTTATAAAAACATCTCTTGAAGAAATCAAATACTAGCTAATCAGATACCTCGTAACATTATATAAGTACATACATATTAATTCGCAACTCGAGTCTTTCCTCTCAGCTCTCAGAGAGCTGTGCATTACAACCAAGATTCCTTTAAAATTCGCTAACCCGTAAACAAAACTGCTTTGTCGAAGAATGCTGCCCAAAGAGCCGCGCCACGATCATGAACAACAAAAGCTGACAGAGCCTTCTTAGAATGAGATAAAGATGCAAAGCACGTGTGCGTCGTAGTAAACGGGGCATGTCGAAGTATCAGTGCATGTGCACCTAGGCATCTAAGTCAATGCTGGCAGTTATAACTTTGAAAGGGTGGAGGAGTTAGTCACATACAACCGGCATTAGGTTAGAGTGGGCTTCACCGCGCATAGCACGGAGGTATTCGTGGGCTGGAAAAGCGGAAAAGCCCGTTGTGATGCCACTGAAGGAAGCCAATCGTTGCCGTCCCTCAATAATTAAACCCCCTGGTGCGTTTTATATAACACAAAAAATTTAGAGTATTCGCTGAGCTCAGGGTCGGCTAAGCAATGCTCGATGCTCTTCACCTCTTTCTCGGTTCTGCAGCTGCAGCAAAAATCGTTGGTTCAATATCCTAAATGTCTTTCCATTTGTGGTCATCCGGGAGAGTTTGGTGATTACTAACCTAAGAGAAGAGCATTCAAACCAAGTGAGAGCTATGGATAGCTTTACATCAAGTATTAGGCATATTTGTCTGATAGTATGACAGGTGGTTTTCAAGGAGTTGCCAGGAATGTATCTGTGCCCAGGGGACCATACAACAGTCAAGAAGCTTTTTGACTTATTTATGTATATGTATTTAATAACTTGTTTAAGTGGATTCTAATGGATTTGAAAGTATTTTTGGTTATTTACATGTGTGAGCTGAGTGTGTTTACATACAAAATAAGCAAAAATTTACAACGAAAATTTGGAGGTTATGTTGAAGTTGACAGAAGTTACAATTTTTTACTAGAAAGCGATCCCGTACTTTTCAATGTTACTCTCTCGCTCTGAGTNATACTATTTACTGGTAATCTCTTCTTCAATAAATTACAATACAGAAAAAATTCATCTGACTTCCAACTAAGTAAAAGATAACTGTAAAACACAAAACTGAGAGTGAGTGCAAAACTGTTACATTTGCCTTAAGTTACATTTTTGTCTGCTGGTTTTTTATTGTTGTTGAATTAACTTCAAATCGTTATGAGAGAGGGAGTAGGGATGTACCAATAAGAATATAAAACAAAAGTATGAAATTCGTAAGAACTTTGAAAGATAGTGGTGGCTGAAATAAGAAGTGTTTTGCACGTCACGTTATATACTAGTTATATAAAAAATTATACAAACAGTGCTACCGAAATAATTAGTAAATTGATTTAAAAACTGGATATGTGGATCATCCGGTTCTATATCAAGTTATTCTCGCTAACTTCAAAGCACTTCCATTTAAGATNGTCTGCTGGTTTTTTATTGTTGTTGAATTAACTTCAAATCGTTATGAGAGGGAGTAGGGATGTACCAATAAGAATATAAAACAAAAGTATGAAATTGAAAGTTTCGTGAATNGCACGTCACGTTATATACTAGTTATATAAAAAATTATACAAACAGTGCTACCGAAATAATTAGTAAATTGATTTAAAAACTGGATATGTGGATCATCCGGTTCTATATCAAGTTATTCTCGCTAACTTCAAAGCACTTCCATTTAAGATGGGTAAAAACCTGGCTGCAGTCGACAATGAGCGAAAATGGATTGAACGGTAAACTAAAAAATACATAAACGTATAGTTAAATTGTTTATTACTTTCTTTTTAGGTTTGTGACTTCTAAGCGTACATCGAAAGTTTGTATCAGAGAACCAATCCGAGATTATTGATAAAACTATAGACCGGTTAGGTGAACAGCCAAGACGTTATTTCTTAAGTAATTACAGCAGACGGCAGAAAACACATTTCGAACATACATGTCTATAATAAAAGTAGCATATTAGGGGCTGCTAATATATCTATTTCAAATTATAGTTAAATCATTTGTTAAATTTAACTACAGAAAAATTACTTTAAAATAGATAAGTTAACGGCCCTTAACGAATTTTTTATTTATTACACGGTGTGACAAAAAAATTAACATATTAAGGATAAATCAATGTACCAGCATAAAAGTATATGTATATCATTAAGGAGAGATATTTCGGGGTGGCCAGATGATCCGTGTGCTTACGGTTCAAATCGCAGTTCTATACGTCCGGATATTTATATCCATGAATCCTCTGTGTAGCGACCAAACACCCGTTTAGGAGCGAGCTAAATTGGGAGGGCATAAAACCCCACGTGCGCTGGATTTGGGTCCCACCACGTTAAAACCCTGCTCAATAAAAAACACATGTCTCGGATGATACCCCTTCTTTTGATGACGACACGGCAAACGTATAAAGGACTATGATTTGAGGGTATGCACCTGGAATATCCGGACACTTAATGGGGAAGGTGCCTCTGCCCGACTGGTTGATGTCCTCGGGAAGAAAACGGCTGACATCACGGCCATCCAAAAAATGCGATGGACGAGGCAAGGCAAGGTGAGCGTGAAGCCTTGCGACGTCTACTGCAGTTGCCTCGTAAAGGAGCGCAAATTCGGTGTTGGATTCGTGGTAGGAGAGAGACTCCGTCGTCGAGTACTGGCGTTTACCCCGGTGGACGAAAGTCTAGCCATAATCCGCATCAAAGCGAGATTCTTTAACATCTCGCTCATCTGCGCCCATGTCCCGACGGAATAGAAGGACGAGGCGTCCAGTATTTAGGTTTTTCTATATATGAAATTAATTTTACAATTTGTAATTTATATTTATATTGAAATAATTGACTTACCTTACTCTAACCACCTCCAACCGGACTCGAATCTGCAATGTCAGAACCAGAAGCACTAGTCTTCACGCGACGCCACAGCCGACATTTCCCAGGAAAGCAATTAACTTTGTCTTAAAAGCAGTGACAAAATTCAATATAATTTAAGGAAACTATTATTTATATTGAGGAAATTATTACTTATATTGAGTAAATTTCCTTCCTCAAATAAATGGCACCATATTTTTAGCATGAACCTGAATTAAGGAAAAACTTCTCAAATAGAGAAAATTTCTCGTAATATTAAGGAAAAAACATTAACTCTAAAATAAGGATACTGTTTTCTTGTTTTAAGAAATGCTCTTTTCTCGGTGTTCCCACAAACCTTCCATTTTAATTTAAAAGTCTCCAGTATTCTCTGAGGCTTTGCTTTGACATATGATTATATGTCTGAACAAGACCTAGATCTAGGTGTGCGATATATTAAGTAACAAACTGCTCACAACTGCCGCGGACAGACAAGGGGGGAGTCGAATCCTTGTCTCGGGAAAATGTCTGATGATGGTGAAGTGATATTAACCAAAAATACTTATACTTCAGGTGATTGTAGGTTGTTGTTGTTTTTTACCAACTTGAATTTTTTTACCAACCAAAAATTTTTTTCCCAAATACGTTTTTTGCGTTCTAATAAATTTATATTGATTAAGATTTGATTTAAAAAATGAAATGAGCAAACACTGTACTAGAACACCAAGTTTTTATACTATAGCCATATCTGTATGAGGTCAAATCTGAAAAAAATGAAATATTTAGCCTGTTCCTTTGAACTTCGGGCTAAAACCTGTGGAACTGTCAAACTACAATTTCACTCTCTCAAGTGAGAGTAAAAGGAGAATAGATGCAGAAGTGCACGGGAACGCAAAAAGTACTATTTCCTGTAAAATCGTCAGTCGGCTTGTTTAGATATCATTTGTACAACACTGATTTGGCATTCTAACTAATTATTAAAATCTATACATATTCAAATATTTCGTTGTTTACTACCAATTTTGTTTACAAATATAAGGTTCTTTGCTGTTTTTATTTGCACATGCAAATCAGCTGACCGTTTGACACTTTTCATAAACTTACAGGGAGAAAAACTCCGGACTAAATCCTGTAACCTCTGACTAGAAACATTTGCTCAGTTACTCTCTCAAAAGTGTTCACACTTACAGGTTTTATGTCAATAGGAACGACTT